GTGTCAGAGTAAAACCCTGTCTCAAAAATAAAAAATAAAAATAAACAATTTTGCTGGGTGTGGTGGCTCATGACTGTAATCCCGGCACTTTGGGAGGTTGAGGCAGGAGGATTGCTTGAGGACAGGAGTTGGAGACCAGCCTGGGCAAGACAGCAAGACCCACCCATCACTACAAAAAATTAAAAGCAAAATTTAAAAAACAGTTTTGTCTGTCATATAAACATGTACCTTATGATAAATAGAAGAAGAAAGAGTAACCAGGTATAGAGGCTGAGGCAAGAAGACTGCTTGAGCCCAGGAGTTTGAGACCAGTCTGGGCAACAGAGCGAAGTCCCATTTCTACAAAAACTAAAATAAAAATTAGCTGGGGTGGTGGCATGTGCCTAACAGCCCTAGTTTCTCAGGAGGCTGAGGCGAGAGGCTCACTTAGTCCCAGCCGTTTGAGGCTGCAGTGAGCTATAATCACACCATTGCACCGGAGCCTGGGTGACAAAGCAAGACATTGTCTCTAAAAACAAAACCCAAACCAAAACGTTAAAACAAAAAATAATAAAGCTTTAAAAATCAATAGAGTATTTTAACTATTTACACAGCTATTTACATTGTATGAGGTATTCTAAGTATCTAGGAAGAATTTCCAGGGTGGGCAGTGTAGTAGGCTCTATGTAAACACCACCCCATTGTATGTGTAGGACTAGGACAGTCACGATTTTGCTATCTGTGGGGTCCTGGAACAATCCTCCGCAGATAGTAAGGGATGTATGCCTCTCCTGATCCATGGTAGCAGTTTCTCTAAGTTTAACTGAATTTCACAATTAAACTATTTAGTTGATTTCTGAGACATTTTCCTAATTTGGGGACAATTTTTTATTTCAGTTGAGAATCCATTTCTGAAAGCTACCTTGACTTAACACAGACTCTCACAACTGCTTCGACTGTCATCTGTCTTCTAAAAACACACTTTGTAACTTGGTTACAATGAATTTTTTGGACTCATCTTCATTTAGGTACTGATGAAAACAGTGAAAATGCTCAGGGGACTGTGAACTCAAATAAATCATAAGACGCGGCCACTAGAACAGTCATGATCATTCACTGCAGTTTAGTTATCCTGGAAATAGGAAATGGGGCTTTGCACTGGTGTCTTGGGTATTATAGAGCACAAGGGATCAAATACAGTAGTTGGCTGAGTGCACAAGGGATCAAAGACAGTAGTTGGCTGAGCGTGATGGCTCACGCCTATAATCCTGGCACTTTGGGAGGCTGAGGTGAGAGGACTGCCTGAGTCCATGGGTTTGGGACCACCTTCATCAACTTGGTGAGACCTCATCTCTACAATAAATCAAAAAATTAGCCAGGCGTGGTGGCACGTGCCTG